CCCCATTTCTGCACCCCCAGGTGACACTGGGTGCCCTTACATCTCATTTCTGCAGCCCCAGGTGTCTCTGGGTGCCCTTACACCCCACACCTGCAGCCCCAGGTGACTCTGGATGGGTTTGCACCCCACACCTGCAGCCCCAGGTGACACTGGGTGCCCTTACACCCCATTTCTGCCCCCCCAGGTGACACTGGGTGCCCTTACACCCCATTTCTGCCCCCCCAGGTGACACTGGGTGCATTTACACCCCATTTCTGCACCCCCAGGTGTCTCTGGGTGCCCTTGCACCCCATTTCTGCACCCCCAGGTGTCTCTGGGTGTCCTTGCACCCCATTTCTGCACCCCCAGGTGACACTGGGTGCCCTTACACCCCATTTCTGCACCCCCAGGTGACACTGGGTGCCCTTACACCCATTTCTGCAGCCCCAGGGTGTGTGCGGGTTCACATCAGGTTCACGTTCCCAGGGTTATCTGCGGAATGTGGGGAAGATAAAAACGTCCCAGGTGCCACCGGTGACGTTGGCACGGGGGGCAGGGCCAGGTGTGCCCACGGCTGGGTGTGGGGTGTGTCGGGGGTGGATTTTGGGGTGCCCCTCTCCCGGGGGTGCCGTGACCTTACAGCTGCAGCCCAGGAGTGTGAGGAGCTGTGGATCTTGGCGAGTTCCTCCGTGTGTCTGCAGCTCCTCAGGTGGACTCCGCTGCTCCCTGGGGCAGGGGGGTTGTTGTACCTGCTGTGCGTGCAGGGAAATGCATTTTTCCCTGATTTTTGGCATCCTTCCCGTTGGAAATCTCACGGGAATGAGCTGTCCCCTGTGAACCTTGTGAAACAAGCGTCCCTGTCCTAAGGGAGCCTCTCACCTCATGAAATTTTGGGGTGAAAAGTTGCATCCCCTCCCCTGCTGATGGATTTCCACCCTCTTTTGGGGTTGCTCTCAAATTTCCTCTCCCCTTGCAAGGCCCAGGGTGAGGGGGTTTGTCTCCAGAGCCGTGGCTTCCCTGAAATTCCAGTTTCTCCTTGGAAGGAGCACATCCCTGTGGGGCAAGGTCTGGATCTCAGTTTCTTCATCCCCCTGAAATCCCTTTTTTAGGGTCAGGAGGGGGTTCAGCTGCTCACTAAAGGTGATTTTCCCTCTGAGATCCTGACTCCCATCCCCAGTGTTTGGAGTCCTTTCTCCTGGATATCCTAATCCCATCTCTATTTTTAGACACCCTCAGGGTATCCTTTTTTTTTCCCCTTAAATTTGCTTAAACTCTTCATCCCACCCCTTTCCATTCTTTTTTTTGGGTTAAACCAAAAAAGGGATTTCACCCTTTTTTCAAAGGGAACCTGAAACAGCTTCAAACCTGCATCATTCCCTGGCTGCTCCCTGGAATTCCACAGGATTCCCAGCTGGATCCCTCTGGCTGGGATGTGCTGCTGGAGAGGATCTGGGAGTACAAACTGTTTTTCTCCTCCTTTGCTCAGCCACCCAAACCTTTCATTCATCCAGGTCCTCTCTTCCTCAGTCAGTGAAAGAAATCTTATTCAATAAAATCATATTAGATATCCTGCTCTTATTGGAATAAAACCAAAATTTGGGAGCCATCAGATTGTCCCCAGGCCTGTGGCTGTAAAATTGGGCACGTGGAGCTGAAGCATCTGGTGAAAGGAGGTTTGAAACAAAAATAAAGAGAATTTTTTTTACTCGGATCCAACAGAAATTTGCTGAAATACAGGTAAAAGTCTAATAGAAATAGATGAAATTTGTAGTGGAACTGTGATCCTTCTGAGTGTTTGGTAAAAACAAAATCTCACTGTTTTTTTCTTGGCTGGTTTATATAAATATATTTTTCTTAGTTTTTTTTTTTTTTTTTTT